TTAGATCTGTGAATGACACGACCCGCCACAGCAGAAGAAATCAAAATCAGAGAAAAGTTGTATTGCCAATGTCATTAAACAAATGCATGAATATGCGGCCTGCCTACCAGAACCATGCACCATGACAGTGCTCCTTCTGGTACCTCTGATGTGAGTGTGCCCAAAGGAGCAATGCTGTGTGGAGGGGCCTGGACAGGGGACAGACTCTACTCCCTGGTCTCCATAATGACTGTGTGTCAGCAGTGTAAGTAACAGGGCATGGGCGTGGTCTACTCTAGAGATGCTGGCAGAAGCTCCAGGTACACAAGTACTCTAGGTACAGTGTTGGGAAGGTTACTTTTAAAATGTATTCCCCTACAGATTACAGATTACATATACCAAAATGTAGTTTGTAACGTAATCCATTAAATTACATAAAATGAGTAATGTAATCTGAATACTTTGGATTACTTGATTTGCTGTAGAGAAGCAAAGACGAGGATATCGAAACATAAGAAATTTTGTCTGCTAAAAGAAAATAAAAAGCCCAGACTTTCCTGAACCGTATTAAAAAATATATATTATTGATAGAAGAGGAGGAGACACGGTCCACGCAGCATGATTTAGTCCTGTTAAATCCTGTTTTAGACCTGGTTTTAGACCTGGTTTAGTCCCAGTTTAGACCTGGTTTAGTCCCGGTTTAGTCCTGGTTTAGACCTGGTTTGGACCTGGTTCAAACCTGGTTTAGTCTTGGTGTAGACCTAGTTTAGACCTGGTTTTAGTCCTGGTTTAGTCCTGGTTTTAGACCTGGTTTAGACCTGGTTTTAGTCCTGGTTTAGACCTGGTTTTAGTCCTGGTTTAGACCTGGTTTAGTCCCGGTTTAGTCCTGGTTTGGACCTGGTTTAAACCTGGTTTAGTCTTGGTTTAGTCCTGGTTTAGTCTTGGTGTAGACCTAGATTTAGTCCTGGTTTAGTCGTGGTTTAATCTTGGTGTAGACTTAGTTTAGTCCTGGTTTAGTCTTGTTAGTGTTTAGAGTCTTAGTGTTAGACTAGTTTAGACCTGGTTTTAGTCCTGGATTAGACCTGGTTTTAGTCCTGGTTTAGTCCTGGTTTTAGACCTGTTTTTAGACCTGGTTTGGACCTGGTTTTAGACCTGTTTTTAGACCTGTTTTTAGACCTGGTTTATTATCTGGCACTGAGTGGAATTACCAG